GATAATCATGTTCAATGGCTGGAAAATTTAGTTGACATAATTTAATCAAAATGAACTGTTGTAGTACAGTCACACTTGTTATTTACGTTCTCTGAGGTTTTGAGTTTCAGTATCATTTTATATCTTTTAATTTTTGGATTAATATTCCCAGAATTTCCTTCTTTTTACTATCGTTACTATTATTAGTAATTTCGTGGATTGGTTGAAGTTAAACATTAACATCGCTGGATGCCGGCTCAGTGGTATAGAGGTCAACTGTCCACTCGTGAGACCAGAAGCCTTTGGTTCGAATCCCGCGTGCGGGGTCGTTGGTGTGCAGTTCTGAGGAGTCTCATACTAGGTCAAAACGGCCATCCAGTGCTTCCAGGTTTTCTATGGTGGTCTAACATCGATTGATTCATGGTCTCAATCAAAATTTACTATTATTCCAAAGTTTTCGCTATACATCTTAATTCCATCCCCTTTTAATGATGAGAATTGTAGCTAACTGAATAGGTGAATATCTGTGCCAGATTCTACATTTTACTCAGAAATACAAATAGTAAGCATTATTTCTATTCCTCTAATGTATTTGAGCACGTACATATAATTTGATAGGCACAAATGAAGATAATATGATATATCTCTTACCGTTCAGAACGTTTAGTTAATCAATTATGAATCTATTATTCACTTTTGTATCATCAGTATTCTAATTAAGTAACCATTTAAAAACACTATATGTGATGAACTGTTTGTGTAATCTATTTTTATAATGGTGTGAATTATGAGTCTAAAGTATAAAAGTACATGTTTCCACTTATCTGAGCTTCTAGTGTTTTGATAGGACGCTTGTAAGCATGGGTATTTGTACAGCTTATTGACTTCGTTTTAGTGATGAAAACTAATGGACAACATGTTTACCTTTTAATCAAGGTAGGTTCCTGAAGAAATAAAAAATATTTTAATACTTTCAAGGTGTGTTTACGTCATACATAATTCATAGATTTTGTTGACCTTGTCAGGTTAATTAAACTGATGTTAAATCAATCATTTCTGTACGATTAAAAGAACAGTAAATCGACTAAATTTATCCTCCAGCATAAATTCGGAAAAATATTTGCGTGAAGAATAATATCCAGCCAACCTCTAACGAACACCTCGATTGATTTTTAGGAGAAATTTCTATTCACTATTAAGGATATAAGATAGTATTAAAATATGGTAATGAATTAAATTAAGCCGAATAATTTTGTTATAATTTCTAACATTATGAAGTTAATGTTCATCATTAAATCGAAGTCACCTGGAGAGCTGCTAGAACTCATGAATTACTTAGTCGGTGCTTGTTTTATTTCGAGACTTCATCACAAATTTTGATCCAACTACTACAGTCCCAGTCTCATTTAGTTTTCTCTTACTATTTGTATTTTTAATGTTCGATTGCTTGAGGGATAGATAGAATAACGGATTTCAATCAACTGTAGTTTAATTATTCTACAAACTATTTGATATTCGAACAGATGTAGCCTGCGGTAAAGAGTTTGCTATACAAATTTTGATATATTTATGAACATTTTGTTTAGGTATCATGGAATGTAAAATGAAGTAATGGATGGAAGTAATGGCGAACAACACAACATTCTCGATTCCGTCAATGTAAGAAAATGGAATTCACTCTAGTCTATATACCCCAAAACAGGTAAACAAACCACCTCAGTTGGGTACTGTATAAACGTGGTGGAGATCTTAATTATTGGTGGGTAGGACTAGTGGTAGAGCAGTAGGAATATCGAAACATATTATTTGAGATAAGAATGTGATTGAAGGTAGTCAACTGGAAACCCTGAACCTTGGTAACACAGGATGGAATCCGTTGGGGAGCATCAGTTCCCTTAAGACTACAGGTATACATTGCTGATGAATACCAAGTAGTACGAAACCTAGGTCCAGGGTTTCCTGTTGACGAGCCCCAATCATCATTTTATCTTAACATAGTGCACGCGATGCCGATTCCCCTAAACTGGTGGCCACATTACGACTTTGTCGATAGGATTCGATCTGCACTAAGAAGGACTTGACATACATGATGTTGATCATCACCCAGTGATCAATCAATTGTAAATATCATTTGAGCTATAACTGCGAAAAGTCATTTAACAAAAAATAAGATTTTTAACCAATCTAACGATGATTGAAAGTCTCATGGTGATTGGTTTAACAATGGAATGAAATGCCAATGGAATTATTCAGACCATGAAAGTAGCATGAATCCAAATCTCAAGTAGAGAAACTTCTATTCCACTAGTCAATGGACTAAAATGTTAAATAACCATTTTAGTTTTCGAAGTATTATGTATGTATTATATATGTATGTATTACATGATGATTAAAGAAATTTTCTAAAGTAGTGGGGTAATTCTGATATTTCGTTTACACATATAATAATCAATTGTAGGTGTATGTTCCATTGTTATAGTTGAATGACAACTGTCATCAGTTGTAATTTAAAAACTAATTTTAGTTATATTATGTAATATACATCATTACCTAAGCCTAATAAATTAGAGCTCTGGTAATACAAATGTTATGATGGCTTATTCGGCTTGGTAAAACACTGATTAATAAAGGAGTAAAACCGATTTAGTTAAGTTTGAATTGTTTATCAGTTAACAAATGTATAGTCAAGGACGGAAATATAAGTCACAAAACATCCAATGATCATTCACATTTCTTCTGGTTGTAACAGTTTATTTGAAGTAATGAGATTGGAAGTGATATAACGAGGTAAACACTGAGAATAGTCAAACTTTCAGAAATGTACTACCTTAAATAATTGGTTATATTTTCATTGCATTATTAGAAAATACTTCGATTATTGTATTGTTGTATCCCCTTAGCTGCAAGTTTTCGTTTGATGCATAAATTGTTGTTATGGATTGTACTTTTCTTAAGCTACTTTCAATTTGTTACGGACACAATACTAAACCGTCGAAATTAGAGTCTTACTTTGGCCAAAATCAGAACAAGCAAGCTATTTGTCTCGATAAGGATTATCTTCTAAAACGTAAGTTAATACCATTAGTATACAAAAAGAAAATTAATAAGGTTTATTAAACAGGGGAAATCACAGATTAGTTAAGCATCTTTTTCTTTGTTAAGTCAGTAAACAGTCTACAAAAATCTCATAGACTAGATTTCAAGTTTGTTACTCATCGGTGAAACGTATCCGAACCCCTTGATCAAATAAATGCCGACGTTACTATTTGTAACTAAATATTTTAAAATTACATAAAACAGTCAGTGTTTATGTTGATGTCTAGATAAATGAATGTTAGTAGTAAGGGAATCAGTGAAAACGTAAAACCCTAAAAGTTATTCTCAAGGAGAATCAGGATACATATTTTTAACTACTTCGTTTATGGCGTTTTTTGAATTTTTATAAATATAGGCTTTTATTTGAATCATTAGTTGTTGTTATTGTTGACAGCTTATAAATAGCAGTGAATTAATCACTAAAATATAACACAGATATGCAACAATAATGTTATAGTTATTAGACATATTAAGGTTTATTGTTTGTGATGCTTGCACTCTTATATTTTATTATCAGTCATGTGAGATTTTATGTTTGAATATAGTATTGAAAAATAGGTAATATCCGGCTGTCCGTCCTAGTGTTCTGATTGGCGAACTCGAACAATTGTTCATTAACGGGTAAGTTTAGGGTTGGGGATAAACATCTCGTTTTCAAGTCATCAGAGTTTAATCAGGAATTGCGGTTATGCTTTCGTTTATTTAGTCACACACTTGTAGATATTTTGGGATAATTTCTATCATAGAATTAATAGGAGGTGTGCCCTTTGTTATGTTGTGGTTTTTCTTCCATCATGACTGTCTGCCATATACTCGGCATATCCATAGAATGATGGAGTGGTATTTTAATCGTAGAAAACTCTACAGCTTTCATGTAAGCCAGCGAAAACGATGGAGAACAAAACACACCCTTCGTCATAGACTATGATTGTGTGAATAATAATTTCCGCTTCAGTTTGGTTGACTACCACATGCAAGATTAAAATTGTGAATGAACGTGTAGTTTATTCTCATCCGATTTTAATTTACTGATGAGGTTGAAAAAACGTGATGAATTTTTCGACCAGTCCTTAGCCAATCAGTAAGCATACTTTGTAAGTGGATGGTGCATGGATAAGGAAAATAGAATGTTACCAAATAATAACGGATTTTACGTGTTTAATAAATCTAGTATGGTCATTCACAGGTTACTCTGCCTGTTAATGAAAAAAAAATGAATTAGTGAGACCATAATTTATGCACGACCTAAATTGACTTGGAGAATGTCCACCTACCAAACATAGCTCAATGAGGGTTAGAAACCAGTATGAGGGATTAGAATAATGATTTAGAGTTGATGGTTAGGGTTAGGAATTAGATTTTCGGTTTTCATCACGAACTGACATCAACTAAGGTGCCGAAATGCTATATAGATAGCCAAATGGATGAATGGATTTCGCACCAAAATCCCAGACCTGTTATATATCATTGGTTTGTCCATGAATTATAGTCTCGTCCATAAATTCTTTTACATAGTAATGATTGTCTGTCTTTCGAAAGTAGCCAAATATATTTTTAGGCGTCCTTACATTATTCTTATTTAAGCTTGTGTATTTTGGGTTAGAGCTTTCATCCCGAACTGACATCAACCATAATGCATAATTTGGAGAGAAAATCCAAGAGGCTCTATACGATTAGTTCGTCCATAAAATGAAATGTATTCGAAAGCAGATCTGCAGCCAACTGAGAGATCTGACGATAAGTCACTTGAAATATCAAAAGTCTTTATTTGAAAATAAATCTACTTTAAAAGTACAATCATATATGTTGAATAAAAATTATTGATTTGCAGATGTGGCCTTGAAACTATTTGACCAATAAAAATGACTGATTTATTGAGTGTAGGTGTTATCCAGAAATTATTTAAAATTTGCTATTCTTAAAATATTCACATATTCACCAATGTAGTAGCTGTCACATTTCATAATTGGGGATTAGTTTTTTTCGTTGAACTAAAAGAAATTTATTTTGTTCAGTTGATTATTGTGTAATAATGATATAAATGAATAAGGTTTAGAAAAGAATGAAAATAATCATGCACTTTGTTAGATTCTCAATTGTTCTACAAGAAATCTATTCACAATAAAGAAAATAAATAAATAGACGAGTTTTTTTGTTGTTGTTGCTAACTACCATCTCAACAAAAAAGTAAGGAGAGTTAATTAATTTAATCATGAAATTTAAATTTACTCTCCTTACATCATGGACACTATTACCAACGTCCATACCAAATACTGATTGTGAAGATAATGAAGCAATATTATTTGCACAATACTTAACTGAATATACAGAGAATAAATATGGTTTAAATGTATTTTGGCCAAGACAACGTGGTGAAGCATTTTTGCATAATTCATTCAATTCATTTGAAGAGAGATTTTTAACACATTCTGAATATGCATTACTCATTGTATCTGGTCAAAATGCATCATGTTTAAATTGTATTTATCCAAGATTTCTTGTATTTCTTACAGCTAAAAAATCATGGACTGAAAGAATTTTAATAATTTTTTTAAAACAACCAACATATTTATTAAATTTCGATTTAAGTTTATTAAAACATCCACCAATTTTATTCAATGATGATTCAACTAATCAGTGGACTCATGATCAAGAATCATGGATGAAAATAGCAGAACTAATAAAACGTAAGTAAATCTCAATGATTATGATAATCGTTTCAATTCAGCACTATATAGTTGATTACATAGAGAGATTTACAGTAAAATATGTACAATATTTAAACAAATCCACGTTAATATATTCAATGAATGTATGAATGTATATGAAAATTTTTTTCTGCACAGATTCATCCCCTACTCAAATGTTTTCAAGTAGTTTTGATTTTATAAAATCTTTCTACATTAATTAATATATTTTGATTCGAAAATTCTATTATAGATTTAAATCATGTGGGGCTAGAACCCAGGACCTATTGGCTTCGCGCGTGAGCACTTAACCATTAGACCACTGAGCCGGCACCCAACGGTATTAATGTCTAACTTCAGCCAATCTACGAAGTTGAGCCACCATATACCATTGTCTTCAGTGAGCTGATATCTCACAACAGACCTGGTTGTACTCCACTGGTGACGGCTTCCCACTAGAACTCCAGGAGTATCTCTTGAAGTCAGTCACTAGTGAGCAGATGATTATTATCAGAAGGGGTTTGTGGAGATTTTAGAAATTAACACCGTTGGATGCCGGCTCAGTGGTCTAAAGGTTAAGTGCTCGCGCGCGAAGCCAGTAGGTCCTGGATTTGAGCCCCGCGTGGTGCGGGATCGTGGATGCGCACTGCTGAGGAGTTCCATACTAGGACGAAACGACCGTCCAGTGCTTCTAGGTTTTCAATGGTAGTCTAGCTTCAACTGACTCATGATTTAAATCTGTGAAAATTTCTAAAATCTCCACAAACCCCTTCTGATAATTCTATTATAATCGATTTTCATTATTGCAAAGGATATCTAAATCATTGGGGGGGGGGGTAGTATCATTTAATTTTTATAGATTTAACTTTACTGTAGGTTATAAGGTTTTTATAAAAGTATGTGAGTATAGAAAGTTAACATAAATAATTAGTTAGTCTAAAAAGGTTCAATTACAGTGTTTGCATAATTTGAAAATAGGTGACCCGTTAATTCAAATAATTCTTCAATAATCATGTGTTTTTAATTAAACTTCTATTTATGTACTCAGATAAATGAATATTATGTGAGAAATATAATTCATTTTAGTATCTAACAATTTAACTTTGTAATTGATTTCCATCTACCACTAAGGTTTTAGTTAAGTTTATCAGCTAATTTACTTGACGTCCCTTTGTAGTTTCTGTTTAAATTGATATTAAGCATGAAATCTGATGTTTTGGTGCCGACTGATCTGACTACAATTTGCATGAACGTATGAATGTACTATGAATATAAATCTCCCATTTAGCTCCATTTATTACATAGGCTACCCCGTTTGTATGACAGCGGTAGTAAGAAGCCAAATACTGGTGGCGTTGGGGCAATTTATTTCAGGTATTCATTTATCCAAACACAGAATTAGAATGAGACGCGGTAAAGAGAAGAGGAGAGAGAAAGAAGCAAGATGAAATGACGCGCGGTGAAGAAGGCGAGTGAGGCAATTCGATTTAACCAAGAGTAACTCAATATTTAAAGTCAGACCAAAACTACGTTACAGACACATGATGAATGAGGTAAGTAATTAACACACATGCAATTATATAAAAATAGGTTAATAAGTAAATACGTGACAAGGTAGGAATGTGGCTTGAGAAGAATGGACAGATTAGTTTGTCCAGAGGCTAGAATAACCTATGAGGGCTTGACGTAGTACCGGCCTCTACAGTGTATGTCAATCAGCAAACACCACAATTAAAGATATTACCATTGATTTATTAAGACAGTAATTAAATTTCTATTGAAGTGTATTAACTAGAAAACGTCCCTCAGAAGTAATGAAAATCCTCTGTCAATTTAATTTCATATAAAGGAATCAAAGACAAAAATAAATATAGTGTTCGGTACAAACTTGGAAGATATATTCTGTGAAATTTTCAAGAAAATCGTAGAAAAAGTGGTTTGTTGAATATCTTGCAGCTAATCGCCTAAGCCTAGGACTTTTACTAGTTGTCACTTGTCAATAAAGCGTACCTGCGATCTCGTGTCACTCAGCTTTACAACCTGAGACGCTATTCGAGCAGCAGTTGACTTTGCGTAGTATTGTGATATTTAAATTTGATTACCACTGTCATGTTTATTTAGTTCCTTTTAGTGCTGACCGAATTCTACCGATTGCCAACGGATGTTAACTGATGAGGAATCTAGGCTTAGGGTTTCCTGCCGAGTATCTTTAACCACCTAACATTTCAGCATGGTGCTAACGGTGTTGAGTCTTTTAGGTTTGTGATCATAATTCCATTTAATCGATAGAACTGGTAAAGTACAAAAAAGACTAGACAAACCTGACAGTGGTCATTACTGTTATGTTTGAAGCTTCACGATGTTCACTTAAACTGCGAACGAGAACAATACTCAGTGACCAAAGACCAGTGACCTAACTATTGACGCGTCCCAGCCCCGCTATCTAGAGGGAGAAGTCCAGGCTTGGTATGGAAAATATATTCCGCAAACAGCCAGTAAACGAGCGAGCGAGCAAGCAAGCAAGCAGCATCAGCAAACACAATTTAAACATATATAATCGATATTGTCGTAGAAAATTTTTAAACATTAATCAATAAGTTCATAAATTGACCTATTTGCCCATTGAATCGATAGTTCATCTGTTGACTGCTATTCAAACATTTAATCGATCAGTTCATCAATTGACCCCAATACAATATTTAAATATTTAATCAATAAGTTGATCGATGCGATAAAATTTAAAATATGAGTTTGGGAATCTATCGTCCCCAACAATTACCCAGTTAATAATTAGTTGTATTAATTAACTTTATTTATTTTATTTCTATATTATGATTTACAAAACGGTTCAATACTTTATTATTGTTTTTCCTCTCTACGTATCATACCGTCACTCATTTTTTATGACTAACTTACTTCAGACATAAGTTGTGTATTCTACATTGCATTGTAAATTAAACAGTAAAAACATTTCTAATCATTTGGTTCATTAATTTCTCACTGTAACTAAAACTGGTTGTTATAATGTCTGTTTACTTCAATTAAACTATTTTGTCCCACTGTTAATCAGATCATGTCGGTTTTTATAGAGAATCTTTAAGTTTTATTGTCTAGTTAATGAAATTCAAAGAGGTAATGTCATCAGTATATTCTACTTACATGTAACACAAAGCATTATACTACGACAGGGAGACCAAAACAACATATCATATACATGTTGGGGACGTTAGACCCCCAGAACTCACTTGGAAAATAACTTAATTTTGTAATTTTATTTAGAAGACTTAAATTTTTTTGTTTTCGCGCCAAAGGCGCTCTTGTCACCTTCATGTCGTATTTCCCACTCGGGCGAATCTTAAATGTTATTGGTCCATTGAGTTTTTTAGTATGCCATTTGGTAACTCTCCCCAAGGACGGTTTTGCACTGTAAATATACGTTTTGAATTGTGTTGTTTTTGTTATCGCTCGTTTCTGGCTGTTTTGAAGAATATACCTCCCATTCCAAGCTTGGACTTCTCCCTCTAGTTAGCGGGGCTGGGACGCATCAAGAGCTAGCTTACTGGTATTTCGTCACCGAGCCTTGATCTCGTTCGCCGATTAAGTGAACACGTGATAGCTTCAAACCTAGCAAATTTGGCTATGGTGGTTTCGGAAATATGGATCATTCTAAACTTGCATTATGACTCGAGCAGAAGATGAAACTTATTCAGATGTTAGCAGATACAAAGCTTAAGTCTAAAACTAGACCAAGCAGTTCCACTACTACTACTACTACTACTACTACTACTACTACTACTACTACTACTACTACTACTACTACTACTACTACTACTACTACTACTACTACTACTACTACTACTACTACTACTACTACTACTACTACTACTACTACTACTACTACTACTACTACTACTACTACTACTACTACTACTACTACTACTACTACTACTACTACTACTACTACTACTACTACTACTACTACTACTACTACTACTACTACTACTACTACTACTACTACTACTACTACTACTACTACTACTACTACTACTACTACTACTACTACTACTACTACTACTACTACTACTACTACTACTACTACTACTACTACTACTACTACTACTACTACTACTACTACTACTACTACTACTACTACTACTACTACTACTACTACTACTACTACTACTACTACTACTACTACTACTACTACTACTACTACTACTACTACTACTACTACTACTACTACTACTACTACTACTACTACTACTACTACTACTACTACTACTACTACTACTACTACTACTACTACTACTACTACTACTACTACTACTACTACTACTACTACTACTACTACTACTACTACTACTACTACTACTACTACTACTACTACTACTACTACTACTACTACTACTACTACTACTACTACTACTACTACTACTACTACTACTACTACTACTACTACTACTACTACTACTACTACTACTACTACTACTACTACTACTACTACTACTACTACTACTACTACTACTACTACTACTACTACTACTACTACTACTACTACTACTACTACTACTACTACTACTACTACTACTACTACTACTACTACTACTACTACTACTACTACTACTACTACTACTACTACTACTACTACTACTACTACTACTACTACTACTACTACTACTACTACTACTACTACTACTACTACTACTACTACTACTACTACTACTACTACTACTACTACTACTACTACTACTACTACTACTACTACTACTACTACTACTACTACTACTACTACTACTACTACTACTACTACTACTACTACTACTACTACTACTACTACTACTACTACTACTACTACTACTACTACTACTACTACTACTACTACTACTACTACTACTACTACTACTACTACTACTACTACTACTACTACTACTACTACTACTACTACTACTACTACTACTACTACTACTACTACTACTACTACTACTACTACTACTACTACT